TATATACATATTTATACTATAGATCCTTAACTTGACGTCACGTTCGTCGGAGACGCCAACAGAGCTCTGCCAAATTTGTTGCAGCTGCATAATGGAAATTGTATTGTTCCTCATTTTTGGGCTTAAAATTGAATCAACTTCCTGCATGCAAATGCATTAAATATTTTTATTTTCTGTTAATATCATGCAGAGAATTAAGTAGTAAAGTCTTTTAGGTTTTACCTATAAAACTTAACATTTTTAATATTTAAATTCGAAATTATGCTCTTTTTATTGCAGCTCTTAAACTATTCCTGCAACAATTGCTTCCAAATCAACTGAAAATTGCCAAAAAGCTAAGATAAATAAATCGTAGAGAAATACAACTGCCAAACATAGCGAAACTTCCGAAATGTGGAAACTTCAGACTATGAAAAAAAGTGAGTGAAATAATATAACATAAATTTAATTACAGTATTTATTACTACTATATGCATGCCACTTGATTCGTCATCAAAATATAATTATAACAAGCGAAGTCTGCTTGCTACAGTTTAAGAGTCATTGAATAGGAACACGACTAGTCTTATATGCAGTCTTATACAGCAGATCTTCCTTGAACTACATACATATATATGAATAAGCATTGGCATATATAAAATAAGAGTTGAATTCATTATATAAATGATATATTAAATATTGTTTTAATTTATAAAATTTTATAAGTTAATTGAAAACAAGAGAAAACTGCGATTGTGGATCGCATGCTATCAAAGTTCACAATCGTAAGTGAAAATATTCAAACTGTAGTTGAGACAACAACCATACATGTTCAGAGCGATAATTGAACGCATATAAGAGTTGTACTTGGGTGTCTTGTGGTGCGTGTCTTAGCTATGATATTAGCTAGTGTTTGTGATAGCAGAATTACAAGTAGTAAGAGTTCAAGCTGGTAAAGTGCGATATCAATTAGTATCAAAATTACTAGCTATAGTTTAATTAAGTAACTTATTAATAATTAATATTTTAATAGTTTACTTTAAGACGGAAAGCGTCACTCTTGCTGTCTTATACACAACTAGTGAGCTCGTATTTATAAGAATTTCAGTTGGGTTGCGTGTCACTGCTTAGCTAATGTGTGTGTATTGGCTAATATGCAAATAGTATAAGCTGCAAGAAAAGTGTATAAGTACTTTTTTATTTAATTAAAGTTTCTTAAGTATTTACTAAAAATATATTAAATAAATATCTTCATGTACTAATATTTTCTCTATATTTATCTTCTAGCACAAATTGCCTCGTAAATAATTTGGAAGATAATATTATACACACATTTAGATATACATCAAAGAGAGATCAGAGAACGCCATGGATGCTCCAGATGCTGGCCGCATTATACGTGCACCTGCGCGACGCAAACGCAACGACGAACAGCTAATGGATAGAGTAAGTCACTAAACTAAGTCTGTACAACTAAAAATATCGTAGATTTTGATATTTTGTCACTCGATTTCGTGGAGTTTTGATTTGATTTGCGTTCAGTTCGTGTCGTTTCATTGAACTCAGTCACGATCTATTTATGGGCGATCCAGTTTCCACGGCGGCTCGCTGAACGAGTTCCCGAATGCATAATTGGAATGGTAAAAATGAAAGTTATATTCAGTCGTAAAGACACCCGCTAATTCGATTTGATTGATTCATTTAAAATGCATTGGAAATTTGAAGAATTTCTGAAATTTACTTGCTCGCTCGACCCAGTTTCAAAACCTTATACAGACAGACTCACCACCTACGCGACCACCCACAATTGAATAAGTTCATTAACATGCTAAGTCCTAACTCCACCACACACCCCACGCACACACAATGCAACCCACAATTAGCGCGCATCAAGTTTCACGCAATTAAAACAGCAAAATAAAAAAGTAAATTATAAAGAAAGAAACAGACAATAACAACAATTAGTTGGTTTTATGTCAAGTTCAATGCACGAAGTCAGACGGACAGACGGAGCCACCCACCCACGCTCGATAACAAATGTGCGAAATATTATTAAATAATACTCCCAATCTTAAGCAATAAGCGAGGGAGCGCCTGAGCGACTTTCTCTCCGCAAGCAAAAAGCTTCGTCGTCTGACCTTTTCACCAAACAGACCAACTTCACCATAGCCGAACACAACAGCTGAGCGCCGCTCCAGCAGCAGCAACACCAACACCAACAACAGCGTCGGCAAAACTTTAACTGTGTATTTGAAGTTTGAGAGTCGGCGTCACGATCTTGCCGCTCTCTCGCAGCCGAACTAAATGTAGTTGTTGCTGTAGTTGTTTTGGTTTTTCAACGCCTGTTAGTTAATGCCTTTTACTCGCGCCTCTTTGCGCTCTTCGCGCTGCGCTCCGAGCACTGTCGCTGCGCCATTGGCTTGGCGCTGCCCGACACTCGCTGCGCTGTTTCAGTTACAATTTGTATTCCACTTGGTGCGCGGTAGACTCGCCGCGCTGCTCGCAAATCGCCGCGAGTCTAACTCCCCACACACCCACCGCATTGCCGTTGCTGACGCTGCTGCCTGGTGCTTGGTGCTTGGTGCGTTGTTGTTTCGTTACTTGTTGCAACTTTGCATTTTGCAACAAAAGTGCAGTAAAATTATGATGAAAATGAAATAACGGCACTGCAGAATTCCCAATTGGGCAGCAAATTGTTCGCCTTAATTACTTATGTAGCCAACAAATAAAGAAAAAGAATTGAAAAAAAAACAACTTGTGCGGCCTTCGGACATATTCGGCGCGTGTAATTCGGTCGACGTCGCTGTCGCCAGCGCAGCTGCCGTCGCAGTCATCGCTGGCGTTAACAGCGAATTATATTATACGAAAAGTCTCTCGCCCCGTTTAGATGATGACTGAAATTACGTGCGAGCAAGCCCAACCTCCCCCCGCCCCTCGAGTCGCGGCAACCCCTAATGTTTTAAGTCAATTATTTTGCAACAGATTTTGTTGTTGCTCTTGTCTTTCAATTAATAAAATGATTAGATCATTGTGGGGGACAAAGTTTCAACTGAAATGCAAAAACGGACCAAAATTGTTGAAATAAGCTCAATCTGAAATTCAAATTCCTCTGGCAAATTAAGTGCAAATTAACAAACTGAGAGAGAGAGAGTTAATTAATTTTGTTATACTATTTAAAACGTCTCTCTGGCCATACTGCTAACGTGCTATAATATTGTGCTGTTGTAATACTGTTATATGGCTATACTGTTGTACAATTATAATGTCATACTTTTATAGCATCGCAGTATACACATAGTATCATACTGTCATAATACTATATGTTAAAGATCTCTATAAAAGAATACTTTCGCTTTTCTGTTGACTTTTTGTATTATATATTCTATATAATTAACTGATGAGCTGGCCAATGTTAAATTACCTAATTTGATGACATAGATCGTGTTTTTAGTAGGTATATGATGTAATACACCGATATAGATAAGATTTTTGCGTGTTCTAGAGTGAGAATAAGCAAAACATCATGATTGCAGCAAATTATATAAAAATGTATAAATCTTTATCAACTTATCAATTTTTAAGTTGAGTATTAAACAAGTTGCTTTGAACTTAGCCCATGAATAGCTAATGTAATGATATTCATCCTATAATCAGCTTGTTCTATTCACCTTAAAAATAACCTTTTTGGAAATGGAATAGATTTCATATATGCATTTTATATACATATTTTTTAAGAAGCTCATATGTATATAGAATATATCTACATATTTATATAGACAACTTTTCATATTCGTATCGGCGGCGTATACTTAATTTATCATTAATTATTTACGCAGTGTTTATCATAAAATGATATGCTCGACGCACCTATAAATAGGACTTGGCGATAATGAAAACAGCAAACAGAAAGAAAACTCCAAAGTTGTAGAGAAATTGAAATCGAAAAGAACAGAAATCGAAGCGAATAGGCGGGCCAGACAGAATCCCCCAAGGGCGAAAACGCCCCCGAAACGTCAATGCAAAATTAATTCAAATTCTCAATTCGCCTGCAATCGAACAGCAAAACAAGCGAAAAATAGAAAAAGTAAGAAAAACAAAATAAAAGTCGCGCAATTGCTGCGTCGCTGCTCGCTGATAACGGCATTTGGCAGGCACTAAGAGAGCAAAGCAACAACAACAAGAGGAACAACAAGAGCAGCAGTAGAAACAAGCACATTAAAAGGTGATAAAAGATAGCGAAAAGAAAGGAATTATAAGAGTATTAATATTGAACGTTAGATGTGCAAGAGCGTTGGAGCTGGAGAGGAAGAGAGGGGAGGAGAGAGGGCCTTTGGTTGACTGTGACAAATGAAAGTGTGAGAGCGTGTCAACTAGCTGATGCCCTTCAGTAAGCGCTGAGCCGTCAGGGAAGCAACACGACTTTTGGACAGCTGATCGAAGCTGAAATAAAATCAAATTTGCAATGCAAGAATAAATTAAGTAGTTATATAGGTGACATATATTGTATGTATACATCTATGTATTCAAACTTGTTATATAGGGTGTCCCTTAGTCATTGTCAACTTTGTAATATTTATGCTTTATTTGTGGTAATTGGAACGTAACCCATTTGGCGGTTTGCCGCGCAAAAACATGAAAAGCTGCAGCTGTTTAGGGTCTAAAGCCAATCGCCGCCCCCTGCCCCAGCCCGTTGCGCACTGTCACGCCGCTAGGCACACACACACACACATGTACGTGTGTATATTTATTTATATATGTGTTCGTATATATTATTATTTAATAGAGGTGCCGCATAAAATGTTTTTACGGGCCGCACAAACAATTGACATTTTACATTCGAATGAAAGGCAAAGAGAGCAAACAGCAAAACGGTAAATGAATGCTGAACAATGTAAAGCGTCAAGTGCAAAATACAACAACAACAACAATAACGATAATAACAAAAGTGGAAAGAGAGTGAAAGAATTGTGAAAATCAACAAATCAGTTACAACAACAATAGAAGCGGCGCAACAACAATAACAATTGTTCCACATGCGGCATTTAATCATGACCCCAACATCGCTGTCGATGTCGACGCCAACGCTGTCGTCGCTGCATCATCAGCGCATGTCGCGGTCGCAGCTGCAGTTGACGCTGCAGTCGCAGTCGCAGTCACCATCGCCGCTAACGCCGCATTCGGCTTCTCCGTCATTTTTTGGCATACCCGGCTCTTCGCCGCAATTCCCCGCCAACTATGAGCGCAGCGAAAAAGTGAGTTGATTTCGTTTTTGTTTTTGATTTTGTTTTGTTCACCTCCCTCATTCAAAAATGTTAGTATAAGTGCGAGTGTATAGTGGGATATTTTTTTTGGCAACTATAAGAAAAGTGTCTAATAAAATATAATATATATTTATGATTTCTTATGAGATAAAAATGCTTTAAAATTGCAATTTTTTATCAATGCAATAATTAATATTTGTGAATACAAATTTATGTTTTCTCCATGACAATTTTAAATGTTTCTTTAAAAATTGTTTTACTAAGCCGAAAGTTGGCTTGGTTCAATGACCTTAACTCATTTCCCCGTTCATTTTGGCAACCTTTATTTGGGCTGCAAAATAATTTCACGCGTGTTGAATTTTGAATTATTTAAATTTTTTGCTAACGGTCATAGTGCGAGAAAGAGAAAAATAAGTATATAGAAATCATAAAAGATACAATATTTTTTAATTTTATTTAAAAGTAAAAAAAAAAAAATAGTAATCTTGAAGATAAATGCAATTTTTTTTTTAACTTTTTATTTTATTATTTATTTTTTACTATATTTTTAGATGTAATACAAGTTTCTGTAAATATTCTCTATTAAACTGATCACTAAAAGTTTTTGTGTTTATCTTTTAACTTTACATTTGAAATTCTCTTATTCCCATCTCATCTATCCACTTCTCACATTACATTTTAAACTCTTTCTCTCTGACCTTTAAGCGTGCACTCTGACATTGTATTGTTAGACTAATTATAAGCCAAGCTAACAAATTTGGCGTAATTCCTGCAGTTTATCTAAAACTTTAGCAATTAGAACAATTTTCGCGAGCTTTAGAAATTGCGTTGTGCAATAATTAATGAGGAACCGCAAATGGTTTTTGAGCGGGTGCTTTGTTTCACCTGCTTCACCTGCATCCGTTGGCCTTTCAAAGTTCAAGGTGAATCAAATGGCAATTTCGCATGCGATACTCGATTAGTTAGCATATATGAATAGGCACATATACATACACACACATACATGTGTTCGTGGCATTTTCCCTTTCATTTTCATTATGAGCAACTTTTCCAGTCGCTTTGCGCTTTTTGGAGCAGAAAGCATTAAGAAGAAGAAGAAGAAAAGTTAACGATTTGGTTTTTCCTGCGCATTTCTAACAGTATGCAGATAGTTTTTCCTCCTCCCCCATCTCCCCTCCGCCTGCT